CTTTGGGAAAAGTATGAATCCACTTCTTTTCCCCCAACTATGGGTTAATTAGTAAACCTTGTATCACTAAACCATTATCCCCCCACCGCCAAATAATATAATATAATTCATATAATATAATTCATAATATTTTATGAAGAAACGGTGATTTCTCCAACAAAGTGGAGCGAAGGTTTGATTCCCTGCCGAAAAGCACATTTTCTTTATTAAGATTTCTCAAATACGCAGACCGATAGACGTTTATGTAAAAATAAAAACGAGGCATTTGTTTCGAATACGAGTATGATGGTTGAAGTAATATATATATATATATATATGTTTGTGTGTGTGTGTGTGTGTGTTTTCTTGGCGTTTTTTTTGGGGGGGGTTGTGATGTGTTTCGCCGACGCCCGTTGCTTTCGATTTCTTCAGGTTAGAATGAAAGAAAAAATTGTGTGTAAGGAAACTCCGACAACCAGAAACCAGAAAGTGTTTGTATTTTGTCATATATATATATATATATATATATATATATATTAGAGCAGTTGGAGTACGTTGGATTTTAATTAAATGAATGTATTGCGCCTCTTATCTTTAAAAATCCCACGCATTTTCCTTACACATAGTTTTCTCTTTCAGTCTGATCTGAAGAAGTCGAAAGCAACAGACGTCGGCGAAACACGTCGTTTATAAAAATTTCCACTTTGTCTCATCTTCTTCACTTTTGTTTAGGACATTCTGATACATCATACACACACACACACAGACTCGTGCGTATAGTTATATATATATATATATATATATATATATATATATATATATATATATATATATATATATATATCATACGCTTGATTAAGATATTTTACTTCGGGAAGACGGACACACTTATATTAACAAAGAACCAAATTACCATTTATATAAATCGTACATTCATAATCGTTATCTTTTTTTTCAACACACCAAAAGATTCGGAAAATTACTAAAAAAAAAAAAAACAACATATGTCTCCACACGAGATAAGCAATAATTACTGTCATCAATAATCAATACAAGAAGTAATTAGACTAATTTCTGTCTGAAATTTTGTGACAAATACTCTTTTTTTTACCATATTATCTTGTTTCTCGGGATAATGACTTTTCTTTGAACGCTCTGTTGCTTAATTTTCGGCCGTTAGGCGAATGCCTGATACAGTATTGAATCTTTCAAAACCACATCTACTTAATCAGGGCGCACCCCAAAAATAAAAAAGCAGGGAGATGTGGCGCTAAATCAAATGTTAAATGCGGCTGACAGCTAAAATAGATAAGTGTTAAAGATTCCTGATTCTATATTTCCTATCTGATCTGGAGTCCCTACCACGATTTACTATCGCTGGATAGACACACAAGGAAAATTACAAGATCTCCTAGTCAAGATTGTAAAAGGAAAGCGAGAAGAAGTCAAATTGTATGGTAATTTTCTCAGCGTAGCTTAGATGTGGCACAAGGGCGGAAATATGGAGCAACCAGTGAGGATAGAAATTACTACTCAGTCATAAATTGTTCTAGCAAGACAAGCTTGCTAAACATTACACCACGTCGAAGTGCCCAATTGATCTTCTGAGGGTAACTTAAATGTGGTACAAGGCCGAAAGTGTGGGGTTATCCAGTGAGGATCAAACTCACTATTCAGTTGTAAGTGATCTAGCGACACAAGTTTGCTAACCGCTACGCCATATCGAAGTACCCAAAGAAAACAAAATATACGGTTGTCAACAAGAGAAATAAATCCCAAGACGCAAGCTACCAGTTAGAGATGTTTAAATCAACCAGTACAGAAGTTCAAATATCTGGGGAGGGTTTTAACAGAGGAGGGGAAATTTAAAGCAGAAATCTTGACAACTATTAGAATAGTAAAACATGTCTTCCAAAACCTGAGCAAAGTACGAAGATACAACTATTTTCGTTAGAAAAAAAGCAAAGGGTGTTTAACTACTGTGTAAAATTATATGACACGAGATACTTGGCTTATTTCCTAACGCATGAAGAGAAGGCCGGATAAAAACAGAAATGTGGTTCTACAGGATGATATTGAGAATATCATGGATGGATCGCGGAAGCAACGAAAAAGTCTGAAGGAAAATGGAAACAAAAAGTTAAAATGTTTGATTTGGTATGAACACTGTGTCGTCTGTGTATCTTAAGCTGTTAAGGCTGTGAACGCCAATAAATCATCCAGGTATGTTTTTTTCTTCTTTTTATCCGTGTGCAAGCGGTTTTCTACCACTACAGGTTCTGAGTTATTCTATTTCGCATATTAAAAGTGGTGGGGGAAATAAAAAAAATATATTAACTTTTAAGAATTCCTGATTCTATATTTTTTAACTGAGCTTCTCCTAAAATAAAATATTTTTTTTCAGTTCTGGCCGTTATATTCGGCACTATTCAACAGAAATAAGGTTCTACAGAAAGATGTTTAGAATACCATGCACTGAACAAAGTTTTAAATAAAAAATGGAAACCAAAAGGACATACGTAGCATTAGAAAGAGATGGATGAAATTTATAGGGCACATAATGAGGAAAGAGAGTTTGGAAACTTTGATACTCACAGGGCAGATTGACGACGAGAGGGTCAGACGAAAGCATCGTATAACCTACCAAACGGGCTTGCGTAAATGGTTGACAGAACAGAAATTAGGAGATAGCGAAAGGAGAGGAAGTTGTGGAGAGACCTGACCACCCACGTCCTGAATGGCCACAGCTCATGGAAGAAGAAGAAGAGTAACAGACCAATTAACCAAAACAAAATATACCTAGACATTGAGAACAATCTACACGTATATATTAAATAAAGGGTTCACTTAGAAATTCGGTGAAGGCTCGAAGGTGGTGACCGTAACAAAGAAAATATTTGTTCGATTGTAAATAATGATAAATTCTCATCACGGAAATTCAGACTAATTGTCTTCATTGATAATTCCTGGTATTTTCCAAGGCAAAATACGTCTTAAGTAAAATGGAAACCAAAAAAACAGAACTAGCCGACGTACTCCGCGTTGCCTGGATGTACATGGCTGTAGTTGTATAACCGCACCCCCTCCCCCTTTATAGAGGAAATGTCTGCCTGCGTCCTTGCGTGCATGCATCATCCGTTGGTATACTAAGCTACTCCCCCCCCATTTCATCTTTTTTACGGTATGTCTATCGCAAGTGTTTGACTGTTCTTAATAAAGGAATTCCATCGATAAAAATTTCTTGTGTGCTCGTTGCTCGAGGTTAAATTGTTTCAATGTTTTAAATATTCAATAGATTTCTCATGGCCATAATAACTTAGTATGGCATTGTTCACACATCTAATAATGAAATACAAATAAGGATGAAGCGTCAGACTTGATTCAACTGCAAGGAAACATTCGACATTCAATGACCGAACAGTTAAATTTATTGCCAGTTAGAATTTGAATATTTTTATTAATATAATTTTACAGGAAATTAGTTTTCTCAAGACCACTGTTATACCTCCTTCTAATACTGATAGGAGTTACTTTTCTAACCTTTTGTTTTTGGTAGTGTGGAAACGTTAACAGTTTAATTATCACATTATTTTTTCTCTCCGTTACATGTGCTATCCGGTTTTGTAGTTGTTGCTCTTGGAAGTGTATAAGCTATGTAGTTTTTGTTATTTGGTAAAGCACGTGGCAATTTTGTAACAGTGATAAAACTGATATTTCTTTTGCACACTTAAAGACTGAATATTGGAGTAAAAGTTTCTAAAATTAAGTATATGAAACACATCGGTGGCTGAGGAGCACCGGGCTGAAAACTGAGACAGAAGGCCTAATTATTGCAGCTCAGGACCAAAGCTTCGTAATCAGATCCTATTCCTGTTACATAATCAAGGATGGAACTAACCCGAAATACAGGATCTACGGAAAATGTGATGAAACTGTCGACCATATTATCTCAGGATGTCCGGAACTGGCAAACATATACCCACAGACATAGCAAGGTAGCGACATATGTGCTCTGGAAGATATGCACAAAGCATAAAATCGAAATCACTGAGAGATGGTAAGAGCACCAACCAGGCATAGTTAACCAAAATAACGATGTAACTATCCTCTGGGATATGCTAATTCAAACTGATAGGGAAATAAAAGCCAACAGACATGATATTATCATAAGAGACAAGAAGTTCAGAAAGTGTATGCTTGTTGACATAGCAGTAACATTTGAGAGAAACAGCTCCATGAAAATTATCGAGAAATTGTCCAAATACTAGCACCTGGAGATGGAGATTAATAGCATGTGGGGAATAAAGACTAAGATTGTACCAATAGCAGTCGGAGCTCTGAGCCTCGTGAGAATTTTTTTTAATATTAACAGTGTCGCAGGTAACATCAACATACAAGTTGCCCAGAAGATCGCCATACAATGAGCACCTCATATATATAATAAAAACTTTCTCTTAAATCAATGTTTTCAGGAAAATTGGTTCCTCAAGTCTTGATTCTGTTATCGTTCTATCCAGTTTTGAGGGGAGTTTACTTCTTAATCCTTAACTTGAAGTATTGTGGAAAGTCAACATCTTGATTATGTCATTATTTTCTCTTCTATTTATGTTTTGACCATTTTAGTTGTTACTGCTGTTGAAAGATCTCGAGTGATGAGGTTTCTGTTATTTGGTACAGTTCTTTGTGATTCTTTAGCGCCAATTCACAATATTATTGACGGAGTCCCATGGACTTAAATAGCCATTATAAGAACTCAATATTTGCTACTCTTAAGTCCAGCAGAATGCGAAAAGCAGAAAAAAAATGATATTGCTTGTTTAGAAAAGAGACATTCATAATCTTGGCTGATTACGTGTCCTTGAATCTTTTATGAGTAAAAATCTTCATTGACATTTGAAGATAATCGAATGGATCGCATTAAGAGAAAGCAGCCAACAAAAGAATTTCGGGCTGTATCAAAAAGAAGTCTCCTCTGATACCGAAAGAAGCCTCCTGATGAATAACTGCGATAAAGATATTTTATGTACGTTCGAACACCCGTTCTTAATCTTTCTTTCTTTCTTTCTTTCTTCCTTTCTTTCTTTCTTCCTTTCTTTCTTAATTTCGTTCTTTCTTTCTGTTTTGTGAGGTGGGACAAAGAGATATTATGTAAGTAAATGACACGCATTTCTGGTGTTTATGAACGCATATTTGGTGACCGGTTATGCAACGGCATGTACCGTGCTTAGAAAAATCGAAAAGTAATCAAATGAAAAAAAAGAAAAGAAAGGCCTTGACACGGTGTAATGCCTAGCAAGCTTGTTTCGCTAGAACCATTGCAACCGACTAGTGAGTTCCTCAAACGGTACCCCACACATTCGGCCTTGTGCCACATCTAAGCTTAGCTTAGGAAATCAGCAAAGATCCTCCGGTTTCACTCAGTCAAAAACCTTTTTCACCATTAACATTTGAAAGCGGTTTATATACAGCAGACAGTTTAGATATTTTTGAACGGGTTTGGCACCATACATGACATCAATATGAAAGTTTCGATCTGATGAGATTATTTAAGAACATGACTCGGGTTTTTAGGTCAATGTTTTGATTTTGTAGAAATTTGCGGTGTTGGTCGAAATTAATATTAAAAATAAATAAAACGTTCTTTAATAAATTTATTGTAGTTTAATATTGGGATTAACCTTTTTTAAATGAATAAATATCTTTCACTTACATGTTAAAATATACAAATTTGGTGTGCGAAGACATTAAAAAAGTGGAAATGTGACTTCAAACTAGTATTCCGTCTCTAAAACTATTTTTCAATATACTTCAGTAACTTACAAGCTTTACAACATTGGTGTTCAAAAAGTTAAGTATAGGTGATTGGGTTAGTGTTTAGTACAGAAGAGATTTAAGGATAGTCATCCATTTCAGAGTATGACGATAAAATACATTTGACAGCAAAGCCACTAAACGAGTAAATAAGGGTGTGGGGTTGAATATTTTTTATTGTTACTCTATCTCTTTACAGATGAACAGGTTACTAAATTCAAATGTAGCTTTTTTTTAGAAAAGAAAATTTCAAATGGGATGCGTTTGGTTCTCTAAGAAAAAACAATTTGGATTCTGGGCATGGAATTCAACCCGGGGATGAATTTTAACATGGGGACGGAACTTCAACCAAGTGAGAACCCCAAAACTACTGGAAAATACTGTTTTGTTTTTACTAGTATGTGAAATATTATCCTAATAAAAGTGGAGATGATTAAATCAAGTGGAAAAGCTTGTTAAGACAATGCGTTTCGCCTCTTTGTGGTAGGCATCTTCAGTTTGCAATTAGGGGCAAACCCGTCTGTAAGGAAAGTGCATTCGAAATTCCAAGGAAAGGATAATAAATAATCTTTTCAGATTCTGCAGTCAGAAATTTTGATTCCGTATTGAAGCCCTTAATAATTGCTAGATTTAAAATTAATCAATTCACGTTGATTTCCCTCTCTTTCTCTATCTCTCACTTAATTCTTATACTGCATTGTGCTACGGTTGTTTTGCAATGATTTAAGATATTTTATATGTGCTCGGTCTGAGATTTATCGTGGGGAATTGTGAGATCAGTGCACTTTCGATGCAATAGAGAATTCCTTTTTCTTCTAATCAGAATTAAATTTATTAGGTCGAAATTGGATTCAGATGTGTTACTCTGAAGTACCAGTTCGTTTGAAGTAATATATGTATATATATATATATATATATATATATGTTGTTTTGCTGCCTACTAGGATATCTAGCTAATCCATGTTGCCGACTTATCTTTCGTGTCAAAGATGAACATTTATAAGAAAACCTAACAAAAAGAAACCACATTTGAAACAAACGGGTTTGTATTTGCGTACGTGAGGCGGAAACAAAGGAAATAAACAGTAATGCCAATAAACCAGCCTGCATTTTAATAAAAGAGCTTTATATATATTTATATCTAGAATTAACTATGGCATAACTTATGAAAATAGATGAAATTTCTTTTAAAGTTTATTCACAAAGCAGTAGCTATTCATCTGATGGCGAACGAAAATATCCTACCAGTTCCGTCTTTAGTCAAGCCGACACATTTACCTCCATTTTGTCACGGTTAATGAGCTCTGATTATAGATTACTGTCGTAAAGTATTTTCCTACATCTGACTATTCAATAATACAGCTGACGAACCGAAGTACAACGCCAAATTCTTCATTCTTTAGAAGTTTTCGAATGTGGCTGTTGGCCAAGTTGACCATTGGTCTCAGGAGAATTAGTAACGTCACTATAAATAATACTCGTTTCCAAGCACACCCGCCAGTTAAGACGACTAGCCAATCCCTTTTGCAGACGAATACTCAGACACATTACTACCTGTTCATTACTCACAGAGCCCACCTGTGGTTTATACAATCCACTCATCATCATTTTTCACTTTCTGGGTGAAAGAGCATGATCTGGCATGATCTGATATAATCTGGCATGATCAACAATTTGAATAAGGCTAGAACACTCAAATCATCGCTCATGATGACTTATGCCATTGTGTTTACACGAATATCGACGGCTTTTGTGTAGTTCCGTCTACCTAATTTCACTCGCTAGGCGTGGCTCAAACAATGATATACTATACACCCGTACATAGATACATATCTGTATGTGAGGAGGTGCGTGTGTGTTTGAGAGAGCGTGTCGGTGTATGTGTGGGATAAGATTATCTTTCTTTTAGTGTAGATTTATTGTGAAAGGTAGAAACACCAAAATAGAACAAAATCATGTCAATGTCATTGAAATTCATTTCGTTACCAGGATCCAACGTTAAAGTGTGTGAGAATGGTATTTTAAGTAGTTCCTGTTTTTTGCTGGAAAGTGGTACACATATTACACGTCTACGGAAATTGAAAAAAAAAAGATTAATAAATAAAAGGAGTTTAATGAACTGTGCTGTAACGATGACAAAGAAGTAAAAAAACAACGAAAACAAATCATTTGTGAATCTTCATAAAGTCATCTTAAATTTCCTACTATGATAAAACAACACAATCCCACTAAAGGGTGGATATTAACACAGGCCAATTTCCAGTTTAATAAACAAGTCTGTTTCAAGATATCTAGGGAAATCATACTGATTCCTTACAGCGTGACTGGAATTACCTCACTCGTACATTGGAGACTAAAACCTAATGACATTATCGACTTCTCTTGAAGGAAATGAATCATTAAATAAATAGAATTAATAACTTTTTTTGTAATTTCTTTCTTAATAATTGCGTTAAAAATTAAATTTGTTGACGTCCTACATTTCGGTAATGTAATTTTTTCAATGCACTTTGAAATTAAGATGAATTGAACCAAAATGAATTAAGACGCGTTTTTCCAATAGCAAAATAAACACAGGGTTCGATAATGAGGTAAATTGTATTTATAACTCACTGGACCTAAATAACAGAATTAAAAAAAAAGGGTTTAAAGTTGGATCTGTATTTATATCACGGAATGAAAAAGAATTTAGGAGAGTTCTTAAGAATTTACTCACTTGGTAAAAATTTAAACTGAATGCCAAAATTAATCTTAAATTTATATATATTGATAACTATATATATATATATATATTTTAAAAGAGTGAGAGACGGTAATCTGCTTTACAAATCTATATATGCATATATCTACATAGATAAATTCAGTTGAAAACATCAACAAAGATTGTTTGCCTTGAGGCTAAGTTATACATGTACACAGAAATAGATATGTATATAGAGCTTCAGAGTTCGTCCAATAATTGCATTCAAGCCTGAAACTGACAGTCACTAAGTATTATTTTTTCCTATGTCTAAACTGTACATCTTAACGATCTTCGAAATTGAGCATTCTTGTCCTAAAAATATAGTTCAGTCTATGAAGATTGCCCTCAAGAACGAAACCCACTGTCGACTGTCGGTGTTGACGTCAGTGTCAACTTTTATGTTTCATGCGCTCTATCTTTGATAATGAGAACTTTCACCCATAAATATAGCATACCTTAAAACAATATCACATATATAACAATATCATATATATATATAATATATATATATATATATATATATATATATATATATATATATATATATATATGATTTTCTGTATTTATAGTCTATATCTTGAAACGTTATCTCCAATATTGATGACACCTGTCCGATAAATACATCAAATATATATATAGCAAAATTGCTTGGTGACTAACATAATCAAGAACTTTGGATATGCGGGAGTTTGTTCCACAAAGTAACGGTTCTTAGTAAGAACCTTTCAGTATGGAACACAAAACAAAATGGATGAGAGGAAGTTATTTTAAAGCTCCGACCTACGTGAGAGAAGGCACAATACTTCATATTGTCTCAAGAAGATCGAACGTTCGAAGAAAGATGCGAAACCACATACCTTCAATTCGGCTGACTTTAATTTGAAGTCCTACCAGGATTCATCATTTGATGGAGCCTAGAAGCGAATAAATATTGATTCATTAGTCTCGTATTTTTATCGGGCGTTACTTTTTTAATTGTATCTTTAAAATCTGAACTCTGCTAAAGAAAATGCTTTTTTTTTTATTTTGAAACTTCACACCAATAACACGTGCTCGCTTGCGTTGCAAATCATGCGACAGCATGTCTCCTCCAGATTTCAGCACTCTTCTCAATATTCGTAATGATTTTTGTAATGATCTCTTCTAGTTGATTGTGATTTTCTCTATTTTTTTTAAAATCTATTCACTCTAAGCAAGGTGATAATTTCACTAAGACGCAAGGGGCTTCTAGGAGTGAAGGAGAATGAAAAGACTTTAGAAGGAACCAGAAACACAATCCGAAACAGAAAACTTGTACCCATGCTCAAGATACCAGGGAGGAGTGTGAACTGGACAACAGAAGAACATATCTCCTATTGAGGAAAAAAAATAAAATAAATAAATAATTAGTAAATAAAATTTCAGAGTTCAAGCAGAGACGTTAGAAGTACAAACTTGAAGTAGTCATTAGAAGGAAACGGAAAGGAAATCCTTGACAAGAATAAACCTCTACTCCAGTTCAAAAGATCGGCGAGGAGTGTGAACCGGGTGATAGCTGAACATATCTCCTCCTTAGTTTCTAAATTTCCT